CTTTCATGAATAAATAAATAAAAAATCTTAAAAAAATAAAATAAAATGCAGGTTGTGTATTCTGATGAAGAATAAATGTGTGAGAGTGAAAATGTCTGTTGTGCAGGCAATGATGTTTAAAACAACGTTGTATGAGACGTAACTGTAGCTGCAGGCTTTCAGCAGGCCACTGAGTCTCTCTTTTACCTCCAGCTGAGGAATATGAGACTGAAAGTGGGAAGATTTTGGATAAACAAAGTTGCATGCTCAGGATAGAATTCCAAGCTGAGATAAATTTGGGTCTTACAGATCTGCCTACTTTTTTGAAACTAGACCCAGCATCAGACTTTCCTTTTTTTTAAAAAGATTTTCTTTATTTATTCATGAAAGAGAGAGGCAGAGACACAGGCAGAGGGAGAGGCAGGCTCCCTGCGGGGAACCCGATGCGGGACTCGATCCCAGGACCCCGGGATCACAACCTGAGCCAAAGGCAGACGTTCAACCACTGAGCTACCCCGGTGCCCTGGACTTTCCTCTTTTGTCTCGACTTAGCGTAGGTAAATTTATCCAAGTGTGAGCAAGGACACCTCATGAAGCAAGTGACAAGGCGAAATGTAATGTCAGAAAGTCGCAGGTATGTTGTAAAAGTTGCGTGTGGGGGTGGGCAGCACGCGCACGGGTGGGGTGTACCTCCAGCTCAGAACCTGCATAAATCCAGGCCACCCTGTTGCCTGCCTCAGCTCGGTGCCGCATTCAGAAGAAACACCAATCCAACAATCCAGAATGATTAAAAAAAAAAAACTATTCGGATTTTTCCTGTAGAATCAACCAAATGGAAAGAAGCAATCCCTTTCCTAACACACAACCATGTTCCCCTCCTCGCATCCTTTCCCCCAAACCCCAAGTCATCACAACCCGGCAGCTGCCTCTCTTCCTCCCGCTGGCTCTCGAACAGTCCCTAGGCTTTCTCTCTGACTCAGCTTGACCTGGCCCTTGCCATCCTTTACCTTCCAGATCGCTTCTCTTCTCTGCCCTTCGCCCTGTAAAGCAGTCAAGCTCTTTTGGGGCTTGGCGCCCCCCCCACCGCCCCCACCTCCCCCCACCGCGGTGGCCCAGATCTGCACGTCTGGGCCCCAGAATGATCGGGCAAAGGTAAAGAGACCTTAGCAGGCGGCGTTTTTGTGTTGGTTTTGGTTTGTTTTTCTGTAACACCGGCCGCAAGAAAATTGCCAGGCAATCTGCAAACCTCTGCTTACCCAAGACTTTCATGTCCCTCCTCCAGCAAACATCACCCCACATTCTAATCTGCCACAGCCTAATCCTCCCGCCGCTCCCTCCAACTGAAATGCAGAACAACTCATCAACAGCAAAGAGGTCAAAAGCGGGGAGATCAGGAGAGAGCTGGGTCCTCTCGGGCCTGGAAAAGGAGCTATGCGGGGGGGATGGCAAAATTATGGTCACACCAAGTGCTGTCTCTTCGACTTGGCCTGCGTCCCCTGAAGCTGGAGTCTCCCCAAAAGTATTATTAAGGCCTCAAGAAAGAGGTAGAGGAGGAACGAGGAGGCGTGACGCTGGCTTTCCGCGTCCGGAAACCGGAGGCTTTGCAAGGGCCCAGGTGCCTCTGGCGCGGCCGAGGGCCAGGCCCTTGCCCTGGGCCACGCTCTGGGGCTCTGCAGCCCACGCGCCCCCTCCGGCAGAGTGAGGAGCCTATTTTTAAAGACCAGGCAAACTCTGAATGTGTAATGACTTCTCCTCTTCTCCACCCGATGCCAATCAGTGACTCATCAACCATTTTCTAAATGACTATGTTTTCATTCCCCAGTCTCCTTCCCACTGCGATATTAGAGAAGATTAGATGCAGCCCCTCGCTGCCTCCCTCTGCTTCTCTGCGCCTTGTTTTAGAGACGGCGATGCCCCCAAAATAGAAGCATTTCGTTGAAGGCTGATCATTTGGTGACAAGTGGAAACGCGCGGGCGCGGTGGTCGGGGAGGGTCTGGAGGACTTCGGGGAGGACGTTGGCTGAAAAGAGAAGGAAATAGAACCTTGGGCTAGGAGAAATGGGGTATCTCACCCGGGCGCCCTTCCCTGCCCCCAACCTCACCGGGGCTTTCTGGGCCAAAGCTTATTTAGGAACCCCCGCCACCCTTCGCAGTCACTTGCCACTGCGTGCTGTTCTCTGCCAGATGCCTGGTTTCCTTCTGGGCCCTGCTGCTCTCCCCTGCTCCTACCCCTGGCACCTGCTCCTGTCCCCCCACGACACGTTTCCTTGAGCCCTGTGCTCCCCTTAGCAGCCGCAGGGAGAGCGATCCCTTTGCGGGGATTTTCTCTTCCTGCTCCTACTCCTACTCCTGGACGCGACTGTTTCCAAACGGGGGCTTGTCTTTTGCTCCAAGAGCAAAGAGAGAGTTTGGTTGGTGAGTAGAAACCCATCTGTCGTTTCTGGGATAATGATGCTCAGCCTATCCCGCTGCCGAGGGGGATGTGGTCTTGTGTTCTGGAAAACAAACACGAAAACGCCGGTACTGATCCTTAGATGCCCCTCCTCTGTCGTGCCAGGTACCTCTACTTGCCCTTCTCTGCCTTCTCCAGCCTGCTCAATGGCCTGGGTGCTTGATCTATGTGGATTATGTCAACAGGGTCCCCTTACCTCCAGGCTTCCCATTGGGTCCAAACCGTGCACAGCTCTGGGAGTAGATCCAAGGATTGGAGGACAGCAAGTTCCAGGTATTTGCTGTGCTGCTCCCTCTTTGGGATGACTCTGTCTCTTGACCCAAGGTCATTGCTTCCTTCAAGGAAGCCTACAGGACTCTCTTTTTCTGATAACCTCTTTCCCATCATTCCCGAAGGGAGGCCCAGGGGTGGTAGCAGCTGTACTACTGCTTGCCCTGAGTGCCGGCATTTTCCCACAAGCTGCCATTGGGCAAGGAGTGCCTCTGTAAAAGAACCCTCTTGAAGTCATCCTTCTTTGAATGTGCCATCTGTTTCCTGTTGGGGCCCAGACTGGCCCTGTCTTTCTCTCTCCTCCACTTCCACCCCACCCCTTGAGCCTACTCTGCTCTATGTTTCTCTCACCTCCTGCAGCATCTTTTGGCCTCCTCACACCTCTAGCATGACTCATCTTGCCACTTCGGGAACAACTGGTGACCCTTTAGGAAACAGCAGCAAAGGGGTTATGGTGAAAGGGATGAATTTTTTGAAGCAAGAAGTACAGCCCCAATACTCCTGAGCTAAGTGTGATCCACATGAGCATCAGTTGGCCAACGTATGCTTGCTGGGAAGAAAGGCTAAGGATGGATTCGGAGCTGGATTACTGACGATGCCCTCAAACCCCTCTGAGTTACAGTCTACTTGTTCGCAGCCTGTGGGGCTTCTGTGAACCATTCTCAGATCATTTGAGGCCACAGGATATCTATAGCAACTGAATCTCAATAATCATAATCATCATAATCATGGTAATGGCTGCCAATTACTGAGTGCCAACTCTGAACCAGGCACTGCGCCTGGTGTTTTGCTTCTGTAAATCAAATGGAAGTTTCCATCTCGCTCTTAAGGGTTGCATCCCCACAGTATTTGGGAAAGGGGCCGATTGGACCCTGGTCCATCCTCAAGGGGTCCACCTGTCACTCCACTTCTCCGAGTCGTGCGTTACTCCAGACTCCACCAGGGGGCGCCACAAACTTCCCTGCGGGTGGAGGTCCGGAACTCTGGAGGGGACCTTCTCGTCCTAAGCGGGGGTTCCCTCTGGAAAGCCCAGAAAGCCCTCGGAGAGCTCTTGAGCGTAATGGAGAGTCCCCGCTCTCACTTTCCTCCCTAACACAGCCAGAGAGTAAGGGGGTCTGACAGCCTGTGTTGAAGTTTGAGGAGCATCAAAGGGGGAACACCACATGTGAAGAAAAGAAGGTGACAGGACCCCTAAGGACTTTAGGCGTTCCCAGGGGCGCTCTCTGAGGTGCACTCCAGTTCCTGTCCTCGTCCCTGCCCTCGAGTCTTCTCCTCTCTGTGCAGTCTCCACCTTTTTCTACCTCTGCGTCTCCCTTTAGAAATGTTCACCCACTGGAGCTGTTCTCACCCCAGGACACGTCCCTTTCCTCCCAGAGGACCTCTCTTCCCGAGTGTCTGAGTCAGCAAGGACCTCTGCAGCCTCCCATTGGGTGCTGTTCTGTCCACTGTCTCTCAAGATCAACCCGCTGGCCTTGTTGGATTGTCCAACAGTAGCTGTGGATCTCTCTCCCGCTTTCTCCCCTGCACACATGTGTGCACGCACGCACACACAGGGATCTCCCAAGGACAGATATGAATTCTCAGAGCCAACATAGTCTACACCCCGAAAGGGGGAAGAGAACTATTTCCCTGAGTGCCTCCATGGTATGCAAGGTCCCTCTTGCACCGTGGACTTGGTACCTCACATTGTTTACCATCACAATTGGCTCTTCTGTTCATTTTTCCCTTTTAAAAGTGGTTCAGCTTTGGGCCTCTGGGAACAGGCTCCTTAGTGGCTTCCCCTTTAGTTACACAAAGACCCAGTTCAGGTGTTGAAATAACCACCTGTGAGAGCCATTCCATTTCTTCCCATACGCTCTTCCTCTGCCCTGGTCTCTGTCTGGGGCTTCGTTCAGGCTCCTACTGCCTCAGGCTCCTATAGCTTCCCTCTAGACCCTCATAACCCCAGGGGGTGGCTGAGGTTCTTTTCACACATTCTTTGCCCCAGTGAATGACTCATCAATTCTGTGAGGCAGAAATTGGCCTGCCTTCTTCCTCTCTCTCTCTCTCTCTCTCTCTCTCTCTCTCCCTCTCTCTCTCTCCCTATATCCCATCCACCGCCAAGTCTTTGAGATGTTATCTCCTTGACTATTTTCTGGAATCCATGGACCTCTCTCCACCCCCCTTCTCCACTGTGTCCACTGCTTCCTCCACATTGGTTGCCTGTCCCCTCGTCATCCGTCTCATCAACTGTCCCATCCTTTGTATGACATTGCTCTTCGCCTTTTTAAAAGATATTTTTTTCTTTAAGTAGGCTCCACACCCAACATGGGGCTCGAACTCATGACCTCAAGATCGAGAGTCATATGACCTCAAGATCAAAGTCATATGCTCTACCCACTGAGCCAGCCAGGTGCCCCTGCTCTTCACTTTTCACTACTTGTATGTGGGTGCTTCCCTCAACGGAACTGTCAGCTGCATGAGGACAGAGGGTTCTCCATCTGGTTTACTGCCACACATCTTGTGCCTAGCACGGGGCCTGGCAGGTAGTAGGCGCTCAATACTTATTTGCTGAATGAATGAGCAAATTGTTGAGTCCAGGTTACTTATCTTGGAGGCAAGGAGAGATTAGGCTCTGAGCGCGGTCTTGCATGCAGCAAACTGTCAGGGAATACCTATCGGATAAATGAATATTTCTTTTGCTCAGGCCACATAGCTAATTAGTGGCTGCATTTAAATCAAGTCTCCTTATTCTGGTTGGTTCTTAAACTTGACTGTTGACTGTGTGTTAGGCACCTCTGAGAAATTTTAAAAATCCTCATACCCTGGCTGCCCCATAAACCAATTAAACCAGAATTTTTTGGTGGGGTTGGCAGTGGGGACCAGAGTATAAATAATTTTTTGAGGGGGAGGGGAGAGAGAGAGAGAGAGAGAGAGAGATGGGGGAGAGGCAGCAGGAGAGGGAAAGAGAGAATCCCAAGCAGACTCCACACCTCAGCATGGAGCCTGATGCAAGGCTCTATCCCATGACCCTGAGATCATGACCTGAGCCAAAATCAAGGGTTGGACACTTAGCTGACTAAGCCACGCAGGAGCCCCCAGAGTATCAATATTTTTATTTTTATTTTTTTAAAGATTTTATTTATTTATTCATGAGAGACAGAGAGAGAGAGAGAGAGAGAGAGGCAGAGACACAGGCAGATGGAGAAGCAGGCTCCATGCAGGGAGCCCCACGCGGGGCCTGGATCCTGGGTCTCCAGAATCATGCCCTGGGCTGAAGGTGGCGCTAAACCACTGAGCCACCCGGGCTGCCCCTTATTTTTAAAAACTTTCTAGATGATTCCAGCGTACAGCTAAGATTGAGAACCATTTTATTTTTTATTATTTTTAAAAGATATTATTTATTCATGAGAGACAGAGAGAGAGAGAGAGGCAGAGACACAGGCAGAGGGAGAAGCAGGCTCCATGTGGGGAGCCTGATGCGGGCCTCAATCCCGGGGCCCCAGGACCATGCCCTGAGCCAAAGGCAGACGCTCAACTGCTGAGCCACCCAGGTGTCCTGAGAACCATTTTAAATCATGAGGTAGGACCCAGGTAACCCCATACCTCTCATACTGCATCTAACAGAAAAGCTTTGAGAAAAATCAGAAGCCTTACTAAGCAAACTGAACGTTCAATTCCCATGTCCAGAAACAGTGGCAGCTTGTGGGGGAAGGGGGCACATTGTTGTGTTGGGCTAGGACTGAGCCATGGGGAGAACCAGCATGTGTTCACCTCCAGAAATGCAGAGAAATGGTTTTGTGAGGTGGGTGGAGGCATTGGAAGAAAATAAGTAATGCAAATGTATTTGAAACTGGTTACCGGGAAGCTCTGCCTTAAGATCTTCTTAGACTATAGAAGAGTAACTCCAGGGACTTGGGGAGAAGTCTTTGTGCCATTTAAAATGGACAAACCTCCGGCTGTGTTTGCCAAGGAAACCATTTTAGACAGTGATGGAGAAAAGGCCATCAGAGTAATTTTCCCCTAGAAAAGCACTGTGCTGGATACAGCTGTGCTTGGTGGTTCATTTCATCCCAGAATTGCTAAGCCCTTTGGTTGAGGCTTGTTTTCAAAACTGCCACATGTGAAGCTGGGAATTATGACTTAAAAGAGAAGTGGGAAAATACCTAGAGAATGCTTTAAGTCACTGAAATCACTGGGAGAGAGTGCTTTGCCCAGGGATCCCAACTCTGGGCCCCAGGCTCCCCCCTTTGGTGCCACCCTAACCACAGTGGGCCAACCTTGTCCACGTCAAACTCCTTACAGTGACAACTTCTCAAATTCGTTACAGGATTTCTTACAATATGAGGAAATAGCAAAGCAAACCACAATTCAATAGCACAGAACAGGATTTGCTTTTTTCTATTTGTAACATACATAATAAATAGATGCCGGCATTGATATATAAAGAGCTCTTATGGGGGATCCCTGGGTGGCGCAGTGGTTTGGCGCCTGCCTTTGGCCCAGGGCGCGATCCTGGAGACCCGGGATCGAATCCCACGTCGGGCTCTCGGTGCATGGAGCCTGCTTCTCCCTCTGCCTGTGTCTCTGCCTCTCTCTCTCTCTGTCACTGTGTGCCTATCATAAATAAATAAAATTTTTTTTAAAAAAAGAGCTCTTATAAAGTAGTTAGGTGTTATAACTCAATATAATGTTAATTAAAATACTATCTTTACATGGTTAATACTTCTATTTACAATGAAGTGCTCCAGGGGATTTTGCAGAGCTATGAAGATGCACGCATGGGCAGACCTGTCAATTAGTTCTAGGTTTTAGCCACTCAGTTTGGCATATGTGGGAGACCAAGAGTAAGGAGGAAGAACGGTCATGCAGATTTCAGGGATTTAATAAGATGAGAACCTCTGTTTTTGGTGGGAAAAACCAAAGCTATTGTTGTAAAGCTGTTGTGAAGTTGTTGGTCCAAACAGAGACTCGATTTGAGTATCTTTTCTTATCTTCCAGACCATACAGTTCTCTTTTGTTATCTCCAATGTACACACTGCTTTGTACTTGTGGTGTAGACATAGACTACAATGTGCATTTCATGTGTTTTAAAATCGAAAACAATAAAGCAGTAAGCGAGAGCTTGGCTTGGTCTAATATCCAACATCAGTGTTCGGAAACACGGAAGCTTAGAGTTGAAAGGGTCATTTAGTTCAGTTCCTTCCCTCTAGGTATTTGAACATTTAACACCAAGATGTTGAGTTTGGAGACATTCTCCTTTTTTTTTAAGGATTTTATTTATTTATTCATGAGAGACACACACACACACAGAGGCAGAGACACAGGCAGAGGGAGAAGCAGGCTCCCCGTGGGGAGCCCCATGCAGGACTCCATCCCAGGACCCCAGGATCATGCCCTGAGCCGAAGGCAGATGCTCAACCACTGAGCCACCCAGGTGTCCTGAGTTTGGAGACATTCTAAAAGATTTCTAGGACTAGAGGATCTATCAACTCAGTTCAGGGTTTCTATAGTCCTGAGGCTTATATTATCTGGCTCCTTTCACATCCTAGCATACTTTTTTCCTTGATTGAGCTCAATACTTCTTGTTTAGAAACACTAAAGTATAACAAGACACTCTCTAGGACCCAGGGAGTCTCCGTGGGCTGCAGGATACCAGTGAGGAGGTGGCCTGGGGGGGGGGACAATGAGAGTAGAGCAGAGGGGGGCAGCGTCCTGCTTCTCAATATGTATGTAAGGAGGATTACACAACTACCTACCAATATAGCGATATAGCGTGAGACAGACGAAGATCCCCTGCACGCAGAGCTCCCAGTCCAGCCAGTGACATGAAAATCATAGTCATTCACATCGTATGTGACCCCAGAGATCAATCATCTCAGCATTTCTATTTTATGGAGACCGTGAACCCCTTTGAAAGTGATGTGCCATCTTTTCAGTCCCTTAACATGTTAAAAAAAAACCCATTTGATCATTTTTGTATTATGAATGATAAAAAAGAACCCAATTTTAAGCAAATACTGTTTATTTATTTATTTTTTACTGTTTAACTTTGGATTAACAATTGAAGTTCTACTAAGACACTAAGACATTCATTTTAACTCCATTTTACTACTACTCACAATCTATAAAGACAAATTTTGCTATTTGTCTATTTAGCAAGGGATGCACTTTATTGGCCTTAAATTGCTTATGTAAGAAACACTAGAATATGTCAACAGATTGATTTTATTTTATTTTATTTTATATTTTATTTTATTTTTTAACAGATTGATTTTAAATTCACATACTGGATGTGGTCACAGATTGAAAGTATGTTAAAGGTCAAGGGTCATTTAAATTTATTTATTTATTTATTTATTTATTACTTTTTAACTATTTTATTTATTCATGAGAGACACAGAGAGAGAAGCAGAGACACAGGCAGAGGGAGAAGCAGGCTCCATGCAGGGAGCCTGACGAGGACCCGATCCTGGATTCCCGGATCACGCCCTGAGCCAAAGGCAGATGCTCAACCGCTGAGCCACTCAGGCATCCCAGGGGTTATTTAAATTTTATGTTGAGGGATCAAAGGAGACAAAAACGAGTTTCATGAGATGACGTTAATAATTCTCTGATTTTGTGCTTTTCATATATGACATATCTTGGGGTTTTAAAAAACAACGTGTGGTGGTATTTACAGGTGGGGCCTTTGGGAAGTGATCAGGGTTGGATGAGCTCATGAGAGTGGGGTCCCATGATGGGATTAGTGCCTTTCCACGAAGAGGAAGAGTCATCCTCTCTCCACACCATGGGAGAAGGCAGCCTGCAAACCAGAGCCCAACTATGCTGGTGCCCAGACCTCAGACTTCGAGCCCCCAGAACTGTGAGAGAGCAGCGTCTGTTGTTGAAATCACCCTGTCTATGGTATATTGTTATGGCAGCCTGAGTGTGGGACTAGGACATAGTATGACAGGAAAGTTTTGGTACTATTATTTATGAGCGTAACAATTCACAACGTGGATAGTCTATATTCCCCCAAAATGCGAATGCACGGACATCCAGTGGTCTGCCTTTGGCTCAGGGCGTGATCCTGGAGACCCGGGATCGAGTCCCACGTCGGGCTCCCTGCATGGAGCCTGCTTCTCCCTCTGCCTGTGTCTCTGCCTCTCTCTCTCTCTGTGTCTCTCATGAATAAATAAATAAATTATTTTTTAAAAAGCGAGTGCAAATGGATATAGTCATCATAATACTTTCACCTTTGCATTTGTTTTTCAGGTATCCCTAATATCCTGATCAGTTGAAAGCTGATCTAAAGGAAATAATCATTTTACTTTGGCTTTTATGTATCTCGCGAACTTCTATTTCAATACTAAGAATTCTTATGCATCTTTTTCGTTCCGGTGGTCAATTGGGGGTGCAAGAGAAATGACTTA